TCTCCCACAGCTGCACAACAATATTACGCCTGCTCAAAACAAGCTTCCTAATGTGTGTGGGAAAGGTTCCATGGTTCTTACTACAATTTTACCATGTTGTCTGTCTTGGTTTCTTAAACAGTGAGATCCTCACTCTGTCTAGCAGGAAGTATCTAACTCAGTTGTGCATGCATGGCATGAGGTTCAGCCAAATTTTCTCTTCCTACCTTCTCATGCAAGACAGAGTTAGACATACAGGTGTTGTAGATTGCCTCTTCCCTCAAAAATTAGTTGATCCCAACAAAAGTGAAACTAAAGGAAGCAACTCTTTAAGTATGTATTAATTAGCTCTGACATTTCACATACTAGAAGGCTGCTGTCATTTACTGAAACCCGTATTTATTTTTATTACTTCAAGGGAAAATTCCAGTTTAGAAGAGATAGTTGAGAAGCAAGGAGATGTAATAGAGTATCTTCAACGACACAATGCACTGCTCAGCAAGAGACTGTTGGCATTAACATCTCAGCAAATCAAAACTTAACAGCATTTGGAAAACTGCTGCTGGAGCTCTGGAGGGGAACGAGAAGTGATGTAATATCCCGACTGATTTGTACAGATGTGACTCTTCAATCATCTTTCATGTTTTGAAATAGAAGTTAAGCTGGAAGGATAAGCTCTGCATACACTATAAAGCTATTACAGCTGGACACTCTGGCTCTCTTCAAATCATCAGTTTTGGAAGAAAGTTCTGCAGCTTCAAGGATTTTTAATGCCTCATAAGTTAAAGTTGGACCTGAGTTAATGGTTTAAATTTGCCCAGTTGTTGCTATTATTTTATACTACTGTGTAACCTTTAAGCTTCAGGCTACCAAAGTATTTTATATTTCTGGAATACAAATTTCTTCTCTAGAAAAATCTGATTTTTCCAAGGGATGTGTATGCTTTTTCTGTTGCTGAAACTGAGACTAGATGTGTTGTGTCACTGGTTCCCTTTACTCCCAGGTATAGAGGTGGTTTACTTCAGTAATCCAATACAGATAGTTGTTTTCTAGATGTCTCCTTTTCTCCTGTCAGGTAAGTGGAGAAATTTGGCATCTAACTTAAGATTATTGAAAAGTGGTGGGTGCCCTAAAACTGTAAATCTCACATAGAAGTTTGTGGTACAAAAACCATGCCATGATAAGCAATTGTTTGGAATTCTGGCTTTAAAACACTTAAAAGGGATCCTCAGGGCTGATGACTACCCTATTACTAGGAGTTTGTGTTAGTAACAAGACTCCTACTCTGCCAACTGAACTAACAAAGCAAAAATACTTGAGCATAAGCTTTTCCATTGATCTGGTAACTAACTTCTGTTGAATTCTTTTAAAGCTGCTGTCAAAAATGCCTGTTACATACTTGCTCTTCACTTTGGCCCTTCAAAAAAGTCAGCATCTTGATTCAAAAGCTGAAATGGTGTATGTGGGGAAGTGGAAACAGCAGAAGACAGCTCTTTTAGAAGTTGAAGAAACAAGAATTCTTGGGTTTTATTTATGGTGAATTAAGGCTGGTGAAAGAAACATTTTGTTCTGGGTACTATTTTGTCTACCAATGTAGACAAAATTATTTTAGAAGCCAATACCTCTGTGGGGATAGGGTAATCACTAATTAAAAGTGGGAAGAAGACTCTCAAGAGGAGTGGTCTTATAGATGAATATAAGAAAGGAAAATCATTTCATCCTACTTTGGTGTTAGGGCACAACTTTAGAAGTACCTAGACACTTTAGTGTGCAACAAATATGGGAGTTGTCTCATTCCAAGGAAAGCAATAAATATTGGAGGTTTTGCTGCTATCCAACACTAGACTGTTCTCCTTAACTGTTGTTTCTTGAAAATGCAGTCAGAATTTTATAGTATACATATAAGGAATAAAGTTATTTGTTTTTAGAACTCAGGTTTTGATGTGATTGTGTATGTCAGTTTATATCATTTCTATGAAAAGCAGTAAAATGTGACTGTGAAGTTCATGCACAATAAATGCAACCAAGGAAGAGTGTGAATTCAGTTATTTCCAAGCTCATCTGGTTCCAACAGGCAATCTCTGCAGATTTTTCTGTTATGTGGTTCTTACAGCAGTGTTGGCACTTAAAACTAGCCAAAACTAGCCAACCAAGGATAGCTATGCAGTTGTTTTCAAGCTTTAAATTTCTTTTTATTCCCATTTCTGGGTAATGTTTTTTTCCATCATGCTTCAGACTTCCCCTGCCACTTGTGTTCCTTTCCAGAACTGAGAAGGAAATTGCACGGTGTAGCAGAACAGCTTTCCTTTGTTTTGAGGTCATTACTCAAACCTTCCTCTTCTCTCTGACTGCTCAAGGTAAACCTTGGACTAACTCGTAGTGTTGCTTTCTGTGGAACAGGGTAGCTGGAAAGAAAAGCAAGTATGGCTTGCTGTGTGCACGTATGTGCTCTTTAAATGTTACCTTTCCTAAGTACACCAGTGATAACAAATGATAATCTAACAACCACCCACCCCTTGCCCCAGTTTATATCCTTATCATACTCCCAACTCTATCTTGTTTTCTTAGTATCTTTAAGCTGTTTCTTTGGGCTGGGTGGAGGCTTATCCCAAGCAAAAGCTGGCACTCTTTACTACTCACCCTGAGCACTTGAACCTCTGGCCGCGGTAGAGCTACAGGGAATTGTCAAGTATGAGCTGCTGCTGCGAGTGGCATCCCCAAGCCCCCTGCCTGCAGCAGATGGGCCAAGGCCAGCCTTGCTTGGAGGCAGAAATACTCCCCAGCCCCCCGGTTCCCCTGTGCTGCCTGCCCCAGTGCATGGCGTGGTGTTGCTGGGTTCTGTGAATCTGGGCACCTGCCTCCTCCTGGCCACCTTGCCCGTGGCCGAGCTCACTGGTCTGCAGGTGTCTGCAGAGCTGCTCAGGGAGCCTGCATGCAATCAGCCGCTTGAAAGGCTGCGTGGAAGGGGTGAATGGCTGCTGCTGTGCAAGGGAGCTGAGCCTTACATGTGACCTTGCTGTGTCTGAAATGCACAGTGCTAAATTGAACGAGTCCTAATTGTTCTGGTTCTGCTGCGTCCTGCTTATTGGACACCTCTCTGCTGCTGCAAGGTTGGGTGCTGGTGTGGCCAGTGCCATCCATCCCCAATGTTGCAGCCTGGGTGCCTGTCCCTGCAGTGCCAGCACCTGCTCATGAGCTGGATTGTACTGTCTAAAGTAAAATCCATGGTGTGCTGTGCATGCAGTAAGCACTGGAGCATTGGGTCCAAGTTTCAGGGAGGGAAAAAGTACTGCTTTGTGAGCACAGGGGTTTGCACGTGCTCTGCTGCAAAGCTGTGCTTTGATAACCACCAACACAGCCCTGCTCTGGTGAGGTGTGGCAAACCCACAAACCTCTTACTCTGAACAGCTGAAGTGATACTCTTTATGTAACTACAGCTGCTGAAATGAATCGATATTTGCAGGCCTTGGCCTGAGGCAGCAAGAAGATAATGAAAATGAAGGAATGCTCCCTAATACATGTTACAGCTCTACCTCAAAATAAAAATTAAAATAATGTGTTGTTATTTTATCCTTTTTTTTATTATTCAGTGCTTACCCAGAAGCTTTTTATTTCTATGGAAAATCGATATGTGTTTTAGGTCTGAGAAAATAAGTATTTTGTACCACCTAAGGAATATATAGGGTTGCGTGGAAAATGTTCACATTGTGGGGTTTTAATAATTTTTAGATGAAATGTTGAACTCTGCTAAATATTCTGTACACATGGAAGAAAACATGTGATTGATCTCTTGTGAATGTACATCTCACAGGAGGGAAAGCTCTCAGTCAGTATTTCTGTTTTGTCTTTCCGAATTGCTTGTAATGGATATTCGATATAAACACTTCAGTATTTCACTGCGCCAGGGAAATCACGTATTGTAAAAGATTTTAACAGGATTTTCCTGCTTTGAAGTTCTACACTAACATGTAAGTAACTAACATGGAGTTAAGCAGGCTTGCTCTACTGGAAGTCATTCTTAATCGACAAAACAAGGTTGCAGCAAGGACCAGACTCAGGCCAACAGTCAGAACAGGTAACTCAAGACCTGGAAAAGCAGCTTCAGCCTTGGAATAAGTTAGGCTTTTAGGCTTTCTTTCTAAAAGCCATGTTGCCCTATTTGTGTTGTTGGAGTGTTTCCTGCTTTACACAAATATTTTGCAGCTGATCAATAGCAAGAAAGAGAAAGGCCCGCAGAAGACCAAGCAAGGAGAGATTAATAGGCTAATTGTACTAATAGTCAAACATTTGAAACTTATTTGCCATACTAATGTTTCTCCTGATTTATGTAAATTTAAATCTTAGTGACCCTTAACAAAATCTGGCTTTGTGTAGACACTGAGATATTTATAGCATATGTATGTGGCATAAGGGAAATATTTCCAGTCTTTATTCTCCTATAATTTCCTTTTTTCCATACTGGAAAGGGAAGAGGTGAATTGTTTATTATCCTTTGGGAACATGCTAAACTGCTGTTTCTCACCAAAGCCTTGCATTTACCTCCGTTTCCTGCTGACCTGCTGTTACAGGACTTAATGAAATGTACTTTCAAATTAAGTTTTCATTTTTCCCATATTACAACTATGTACAAGACAAGGAGTTAATTCAATGTTTTAGAAACTCACATTTTGCCTTCCAGACTTTGAGGTCTTTATCTTGGGATCAAGTCATGGTAGATTACATCCATGCAAACATCAATTTCTGACTTTGAGTAGGAGCAATTTGTACTTGTGCAAGCTGCCTTTAAGTGTACCTTGTACATGCACAGGGAGAGCTCAGTGAGTTTGGCTGTTGCAGCACCGTGTCCAAATGCTTCACATACATAGATGGGATCACTCTGTTATCATGCAAAGCTGTTTTTACCACAAGCCTTATGTTATGCACATCTAATGGAAACAGCTTCATCAAAGTCAAATGCAAGTCTGACTTGAATCAGAATTTTGCATTTTTAGAAAGACAGAAAATGTCAGGAAAATTTTTCTATGATTAACTATCATTTATTTGTGTCAGAAATTGAGTAAAAAATTTTTAAACACTGGTTCTATGTGAATCCACAGGGAAAATAAGCAACTTCTCAATTTTCTTTAGATGCATTGCCTTTGACAGCTGAAGAATACAGACTTTGAGGAGTGTACAAAATTTATTTCGAATAAGATATTATTTGAAATGCATACTATCTTTTTACAAAATATACAATCAACCATCTAGCTGATAAACATATCTATCAAAATTCACAGTCAATGCCTTTTTCAAAGCAGATTTTATGGTATCAGAATGCCTTTAAAGAAATAATTTTGTAGACTGACAGCAGGCTTCCTAGGGTGCTGTTTTATTTTTACTTCTGTGAAGGCACGTGCATTTATAGCTTTCTGGTAGATACATTATGTATTTTTTACAATTTTATCAAAAGTTAATTGTATAACTGTGGTTATATAAAAGCTTCAATGCCACAATAGATCCATATAGTCATTCATAAGTCATAACTGTTAAATAGCTAGTCTTCACCTTTCTTGCTTTCCCACACTCTTTACCTGTACCTGTATAGCCAAAGATATATCTCAAAGCCAAGTTAAAGAAATAATTTTAAATATATACATATAAGTGGTAGAATACCTCTTTGGGAAACTGCTTTTTTTTTTCAAGACTCCAAAGGTTTACCTGCAGGACTGCTTATTGATTTTGATAAGTTTGACCATCTTTTTATGATGGTTTTACACAACTCCAGAACTAGGTCTGATGTTATACTTTTTTTCCCACACAGAGAAATTTGTAACTCCTGGTAAACTCTGCCAGTATTAATTCAAGTAAGGTTTCAGGTTCTTAGAGATAAGGGGTTACATATGCACACTGATTAGAAAGTTTCAACTATCTAATTTTTTTGATTGCTGTTCTTTCATTAATTAGAGACTATGTGTTGTAAGAAAAAAATTGTAATACCAGATTTAAACCACAACACTTCTGAACTTTGATTGTCTTTATATATTTTGTAAAAAATGCTGATATTTCAAGTCTAGTGCAATGATTTAAAAATCTGGGTATATTTTGTTTTCAGGTTGGTTTATTTATGCTAATGAAAGGGCTACCACATTTTCCTTTATATGTAGGTAGGTAATTTCTGCTGATATAAAAGGCAGATGTGATGCATGTATTTTTAAGAACAAAACTCAGACTAAAAGCTCAAGGTTTTCTTGACCTCCAGTGCAGAAAAGAACAACTTGTTTTCTGTTTGAGGTCTTCATTCATTGTAGTGCTATGTTCAAATATCCCATTCATTTAAATGACAGGAATAGAGTGCTATGCAACACTCGGGCTGACCAAACAAAGGTTTATTTTCAATGGTCTATTTTTACGGTCTATTTATAATACTGCAGCAGATATTTTAGGAAAACTACTATTAAGCAAATAGCTCTATAGTACTGAATTTTCAAGCTGGTTTTAACTGTCTGGTTTGGCAGCCCAGTTTAAGAAAACAAATTATAGACTTCACAGTAACAGCTCATTAGACAGGAGGATGGGCTTGACCTTAAGGCCTGGCTTGAGAGATCTGAGTTATCAGTTTTGCATGACCCTTGGCTAATCTCTTATCTCTGTGTGCTTCAACTCTCTATCTACAGAATGAGGGATAACACTCTCTTTGCTTTCTTATATTGTAAACTCTTACTATGCTTACTATACGGGAAGCCAGTGGAACCACAAGTGTGGTGATGACTTTGGTACTATTACAGTAATGTTATTATTAAGGTAATTCCATAAAGATGTAATGTTAGATGTTAAAACATGTATATATTATTAATATATAAAAGTATAAACAAAAAAATAGACTTTCACAATTCCATGCTGGAGTCTGATACTATTTCATCCTAAACACTGCCCTATACACAGCCTGAACTGGGTAGTCAACAGCACTTTCAATTTCACTCAGTCTGAACATTATATATCATCAAGAGTGGCCTGGGACAAATCCTTCCTTCTCACTGCCACTGGAAATCTAGCTCAGATCAAAATCTACCTGATGTTTGATTTCATCTTTAACTTTCACTACTCATTGTGAGAGCCAAATAATTTGCAGGGAATGATACAACCACGTAAGTTCACCCATCACCACACTTCTTCCCCCCACCACTTCTTAGGATGTGAGACAGGGGCCTTTAGTCCAGGTCCAGTAGAATGTGACAGACAGGACTGCTGAAGATGGGAGTGTGGTGGCTATCAGGTCAGCTGTTGTTGATCTGGACTTTTGACAAACTTCTCTTATCAGTTTAACTGTTGCTCCTTTAAAACACTGAAAAGTCCTGTATGAAGTTTCTGGGTAAAAAAGAAAAGGAGAGAAATATTAATGAGAGATTTATTAGTCTAAATCAGTCTCATACAAAACAGAATACATTATTTATGAAACACATGAATGAAATTTGGAATATTATTTCTTAATTTGGAAATTTCAGCTACAATGTTGGAGAAAAAAAGACAAAAGCAAGAAGGCTGCTAATCTAAAATTTTCTGCCTTTTTTTGTCCCATGTTTTGTGTATGGAACTGATGAAAAGTCAAATTCAATTCTCATTTCAAATGCTGCAAGAGGCTGCTATGCTCATTTTAGTTTCCAACCACTAGTTGAAATTCAGGCTTAAGGGTGCATCCTGTTTCCATCTGCAAATGGCTTTATCCATATGTACAACTCCACTGAGACCAATAAGATACTCATGTGAGTCAAGTAACCCAGGCATGTAAATATTTGCTGAATTTGAGCTAAAACTGAAAGGCAATGTAAACGTAGGGGGTAAATCCTACTTAAGATAAAGGACAGCACCTACAATGACTGAAGTTAAGAAAGTTAGTTCAGGTGCCTGTCTCCCCTTACACCCTAGTAGTGAGTTCTAGACAACTTTATAAAGCAGAAGGATCTTTAGCTAAATGTCTACAAAATGTATTGAGAATTAGTAAGTACACTGTTTTGTTTGGTCGTTGCCTTTTGTTACAAGAAATCAGCTCCCCAAAGAAAAGGAGATAACACTGAAAATACCATTTATCTTGATAATCAGTGGAGAAAGGAATTCCAGTGTAAGTGCACATGTATAATGCAGCTACTGCAGTCTCAAGCAAAATGCATTCATTTTATGAGGCTTCAGAGCACATTACAGAAAATGTAGATGCTTTCTACACAATTTCCAGACATGGACGCTGAATGGGAGGTAAAGGAGTTAAATATACTCTTCTTAGGAACTGAAGCAAAACATTCAGAATTGATTCACAAAGCCACTGGGTCTAAATTCCTGTCCCTCTGTCCATTCAGTCTCTGCCTGCTGAGTGAATAGATCCAATTGCTTATCTTTTTAGGTTTATGCTTAAACTGATAATGGAATATCATTTAATCTGTCTCTTGTTTAAATGTAGCAGTGAGGAGACATGGCATTCAATAGTAAAGCATTCTTCTGGCATGTCCCTCTTTCTACTTGCATCTCAATTCTGCCACTCAGTATGCAGCTCATCTGAGATTCAGTTTAAGATATGGCAATCTTTTTTTCAACCTCACAAACTTGCCAGTTACCATCCCATATGCACATTCCACATGTTTATAGGCTAGCACTATAGAGTGGAATGGTACCCTTTTGCATGGCTGTTTTGAGAGTGATGTACTTTTCACCAAGGCAGTTTAAGCATTGACAAGATTCTTGATATAGGGTTTTTAAAAGTTCTACTTTAGTTTCCTTTTCACTGTTAACCACTTAATAAATCAAAACATCTTGGTTCCAGACTGCAGATTCTGCCACCATTTATTTAGGATGCTGTCATGCCTGGGGCTACAACATTAATTTTAATATATAATGAGTTTCAAAGATGCAAAACTACTAACTGCATGTTTTATTCATTCTTCAGTTGCAAAGAGCACCAGGTTTCCTTTTGATGCCTACCATATTAGCATATGCTACCTGCGTGCTTCTGCAGTCACTTAGTATTTGAATGTATCTGCCCTCATCAGCTATAAAGCATTAATGGTTTGCACTTCTATAGCCTTTCATCCAAGGAGCTGAAAGTCTTTTGCTGACAATGATTAAGAATTACAGTCCCCTTTGAAGTGGGTGAGTGCTGCTACCTTCGTGCTACAGGCGGGCAGAGAGAGGTGACTTCGCCCTGCGCCCAACACGAGGGAAGTGCCAGCGCCTGCAGCCCCGGAGCATGCTCTGCAAGCGCCGCTCTGTCCAGCCTTTGCACTGACGCTCTTTGCCCCGCAGCTTTGCCAACAGCCTCGGAGGGCAGCGTTCGGCCCGAGTAGCGGGCTCAGTTGTTTGTCACTGCCTCACCAAGGCATTTGGCGGCGGGGGTGGCCTGGAAGGGGGAGAAGGCGGCAGCGGCCGGCGGGACCCGCACCCCAGCTCCGGGACAGCGACCGCCCCGCCGTGCGCAACTCCAAAGCCCTGCTTCCAAACCAACTGTTCCAAAGGCAGGTGTGAATTCCCAAAGGTGCTCCCTGCAGCCCGTGGGCCCGGCCCACACGCGCGGATTTACCTGGCCACGCTCCCCGGGGCTCAGGGGAAGGGCACCCTGGAGTGGAGCGGCATGCAGCGCCGGTGGGAGCAGCCGTGCCGGTGGAGCTTCCTGCGCAGGGCCAGGTTGGCTGCGGAGAGAAGGAGGGAGGGAAGCGGGGTGAGAGAGGCGCCGGCAGTGCCTCTACCGGGACGGGCCGGCCCCGGCTCTCCCCGGAGCTCCGGTGCCCGTGGTCGTGCCCTCCCGTGCCGCCGGGACTTCCCGGTAGTAAGTCTGCAACAGTTGCCCACCTTGGGTCCCTATTTATTCCTGTGCTCCCCCGCCTCCCCGAAGTTGCCAGACTCCTGGCATAGGCGAAGCATCCTCTCCCGCCTGTCGCTAGAAGTAGGGATGAAGCGCACAGATGGATGCGCCGGGTCCAGACCCGTCCCGGAGGGCACAAAGTGAGTGTTGGACGGGGTCAGACGAACACGCCGGAGGTGCCCACGGCAGGCACGACCCCCCGGCTCCCGCCCCGGCACAAGCATCGCGCTGAGGCATCGCCTACCTGGCCGCTGTCCGTAGGCTGGCAGGAGGCTCGCCAGGAGCACAGCCACGATCCAAAGCAGCAGCTGGAGTCTCATGTCTGCAGCCAAGGCGGAGGCGCGCTCTGGGTGTGTGTGTGTGTGTGCCGGCGAGGAAATGCGCGCACAGCCGCCCGTGAGGGCCGTGAGGGGCCGGCAGCGCCCGCAGCCCCCTCACATGGGAGCCAGGCCCGGCCGCCTCCACCAGCGGGGTCAATGATCCGGCTGGGCCACGGCTTGGGGCTGCGCTGCGCTCCGGGCCTCCCTCCCTTCCCTTCTCCCTTTCTCTCTTCTTCTGTCACTCCCCCTTATTTTCCATAAGCAAACAGCGCAGGAATGAAAAGCCCGTGTAAACAGCAGCTCCTGTCAATGCGTAGGGGCAAGGAGCCTCTCGAACAATGCGGCCACTCCACTTTAAATTCAACCCGGCCAGGAAAAAAACATATGTAAAACAAGCCCCGATGTTCCCTCCCCCATTTGCAACTGTTTAAACTTTGCATTGCCCATATTGGTCCCACATGCAGACACCAATGGCAGGGCAGGAAATGCCCCCCCGACCTTTGTTCCCCCCCGAAAGCGGGGGCAGGGAAGCCCCCCAAGCATGGCCCTTGTCCCAGCTCAAATGCTTTCGCTCTTCTCTAAACTAGCCGCGAAGATGTGGCTATTCAAAGTGAAACTGGCAGTACTTAAGGCTAATGAGTGTCTTTTGTATCGCCAACTATTTTTAAAGGATCGGAATATTCAGGAATTAATTTGTGAGCTTTTTTTTACTGTGTAGAGTAAAATAGATACATCTGTTCCAGCCGTGCGAGTTTGAGGGCAGCAGTTTTGGAGGGGACAGCCATTTGCATAACCCACCTGTACATTGCATTATATTTATACTTGGTTATCATGAGAGCTCTCTTTAACAAACCACACTGAAACCAACTGGTGCAGATACCCAAACCTGAAGAGAAAAAAGGCAAAACCTGTTGAATTTGGGAGCAGCAGTGCTGGCTTTGAAATCCAGTGAATTACTGGCATCAGTTGAAATTCGACTGGTCATTTTCTTTTTTCCAACTTGCTGATTTCTTGTGATGAATTAGCACCTAGTTATTTGAAAAAAAAAAAATTAAAATTTGTTAATTTGGGGGGAAAATTTCTGTTCTTATAGATGTGAGAAAGAGTACATTTCTATATAAGTTAAGCACTACTACTATTATTGGGTAACTATTATTCAAAGTTGGATAAAGTTGTTATTTGCCTATTTCCTATTTGCATATTTCCTAGAAGAGTGGAATATATAGTTGGTTTGTTGGAGGGTTTTGGTTTGGTTTTTTTGTTTTGTTTTGTTTTAATTCAGTTGCCCCTGTATCATTTTCCCTTATTGTGAGCTTTCCCATTATGTTTAAAAGCCTGCTTAACTCAATAGTGCACTCTAGTCCCTCCTAGTAAAGTTATACATCATTACTTGGTTACTTAATTTGTCTAGGTAGAGTATGCCTATAATTGCAGCTTGAATACATGGAGGAAATGTTTACTAAATGTTGTTTTAAAATGATACTAAGACTGCTGAGGAAGGTGTCTCAGACAAAACAGTAACAGAGGAAATCCTCTGCTGGTTGATCAGATTTGACTGTCATAACAAAGAGATGCATCCCAGTGCTCTTCTTTACAGCTTAGTGGTCATAAAGTTTTCTCCTTGTGATTTCTGGCCTTTAAAGTGAACTTTTTTTTGATATTGTTGCTACTAGCTCAGCCGAAATCAGGGTCCCGTGGTGGCAGTGACAGAATTTTCTTAAGGGGGTTATGAATTCAAATGCAAACGTGGTGGAGTAGAAGAGGAGTGCTGTGGCCAGACCACTCAACGAGTTTGTAACAGAACCAGGGTTCCATCCTCAATATCCTAAATGTCATTCTGGGTCCACTAGGAAAAGTTTAGGGATGTGTTCTCTTGCTCACCATGAATGAGAACACACTGGCTCCCTCATTCATACAGCCCTGCAAATGACCATCACTTTCATTCAGCAGGTGAGGTTCAGGCTCATAACCTTAAGGTGGAAAGTAGGACAGACTTCAAAGTGATAGGGACTCTGCAAAAAGCTAAAAGGCAGAAAGAATGCATAGACCATCACCAGTCCCTCAGGCTACCTCGGCCTCTTCTGTACCTGAATGTGGTGAAGTTTACAGACATTCTGAAGTGACATTAAATTTAAGCGACTTGAGCAAGATGCAATAATTAAATGCAATATTTATTGGTTTTTTTTCCAGTTTAGTATACTTTAAGATGTTGATTCCACTGTTAACTCTGTGCCAAAGTTTACAAGTGTTTATTTGGCAAATAAAATCCAAGTCACTATAACATGAGCATGACAGAATTGTTATAATTTTCATGTAAGATACCGTAATAATTCTATGCTTCCCACTGAAGAAATTTCTAAAATGTAACACAGCCCCACTCTGAAGTTTGTAGTTCTTTTGCAGGCAGCTTTCCTTCAGGTACTTACTTTCATGTGGTATAGTGCTGCTTGAAATTAGGCAAATAACAACTTGGTAGAATGTAGTGATGTAATAGTTCGGCCTTTTTCACAGTGTTAGCTGGTGGGTTTTGTGCTGACTTAAGAGGAAAGGGAATGTAAAGTGAGTAGGAAAGCTGGAAGTCTGTAGATAATGCTTTATGAGCAAGAAGAATTGATTCTTTGAATCAAAAGCTTTCCTTCTCTTATAATTTAAAAGGAACATAATAAAGGAATGATGATTTCAGCAGTTATTACCTATATCATTGCTACTTTTCCAACAGACATTGTCTTCCCTATTTCCTCCTTGATAGGATCAAATAATCAGATTATCAGTTTACATCCAGAAAGTGAAAAAAATAGTTAGCATATTGCAGAAATAATTTTGAAAGTGTTGAATAGAAACTGCCTTTCCTGAATATCAAGCATCAACTGTAAGTAACACGCAACATTATCTTTTGCTTAACACATTTCAGTAAGTACTGTATCACTTCACTGGTTATTAATTGTTCTGGGTGATTTTCAGTAGACTGACTGCTGCAGTCTGATTTGGGGAAAAAAAATTGAAAACATGGTGCCATTTCCAATAATGAAATTGGAAAAAATAAGGGAAAAGTGGCTGAGGGAATTTCAAATCATTTTGTCACATATAGAAGAATAAAAGTTATCTTGATAAGTGAAAGAACAAGTTGCTGGAAGAACAAAAGATGAAATAATGTGAGGAAGCAGTAAAATGCATAGTATTAAGAAATAGAATAAGGAGAGTTGGATGGTTATAACAGGAGAGAAAAATAATTGGGCACCTCCTAGTATGGAGTAAGAGATTAATTTGCATTCCCTATTGCTCTGCTAGTCAGAAATTGAGTACTGCCTTTGGTTTGGAGGCCAGCACATAATTATAAACTCTAGTGTTTATCATTAATATTTGAAAACCGCTTTCAAATGCTATCAGTATCAAATCTTAAATGAAGGTTCTAAAGTACAGGAATTAATTGTTATATATGGCAATGCTAGTTTTAATTCTGGTATCTCAGATGCCCCTTGGATAATAGCCCTTCCCCTCTTAGAAGCCTGTAAAAATACATAGAACATTGTGGATCTCTACTGCTTCATAAGAAATCATGCCGAATGCTCAGCAGTGATAGTAACTGATAATAAGTGAAAATTCTTGTTTCTTTTGACTTGAAAGTGTCAGATAAGATATAATACCAGAGTTTCTAGTCAGATTTTCTGACTTTGTTTTTTCGAAATTAATCCATCCTGCTGATCCAGAGGAATTATTTCACTACCAGACAAGATCTGGGATAGAAATGTTTATGGGTCAAAAGAATTTTGTGAAGCACATCTTCGAGTCAAATTTCTAATGTCACTAGGGAAATTTCTCAGCTTTTCCTTGTTCCTTTCTATTGCATTGCAAGATGGTAAGTGGGCTGTGCAACAAACAAAATTAAAAAAAAAAAAGCAAAAAGATCATGTGAGTAACCTCTTAAAAGGAAGAAATTGGCCAAGAAACGCTCAAAGGGATACATTTTGAAATGTTGTTTAGGTGTCTGTGATTTTTTTTTTCACCACAAATTTCACTGGGATTATTATCTCATGGTTTTATAGAGTCTGTATGCCTGCCATGAATATAAAGGATGTTTTTTCTTCAGCCCAGGGTACAGCACCAGATGCCAAATACAATGTTTGCCTTCTTCTTTGACTATAATAATCATGAAGACTACTTTTCTAGGCAAAACTCATTAGCTTGAAAATTATGATTTCAGAAGAAAATTATGTACTATGTCCTGATTTTTATCTGTGCTGGGAAATGAAAACCTACCCAGAAAAAAACTTCTATTCCTCCTATTGGCCATTTTACTTTTTTTCTGCAGGAAAAAAAGAAAATCCATTTCCCTGCCTATTAGTGCTCAGCTGCCTTTCCTGCCTGGGGGGACACAGTGCTCCGGAAGAAAATGGTAGTCAGCAAGCAGAAGGAATGTGCACTAGTAACCTGACACTGGAGACAGATGTGCTCAAGGAAAGGAAATGGGGATGGCTCAGACCAGGCTAAACCTTGTATAATTTTTAAAAACATTTTCTATGTGTGTTGCAGAGATGCAAAACCTAGAAATTAAATTTTCTTTAATTTTTATCTGGGAAGAGAGTATTCTGTGTTCCTGCCATCATGTCCAGGTTCTTACTGCAGTACAAGTCATAATTACAATTATTAGAATAAAAATAGAAAGGTAAAACCTGCTGTGGTAGACTTAATGTCTTGGATTTCTGTGACCCTACAATCTGTACAGCTGATTTTTTAAAAATACAATGAAATACCAGCCCTGCTCCTGAATAATCGTAAATTATGAAGTCCTTCCTAGACAAAACCAGTTTCATCATTTACTTATGGAACTGTATTGATGAATTTTCTTTTTTACTTAAGGAAAATACATTTACATGGGCTCCAAGGTGCACTTATTTTTCTGTTTCCTTCCATCCCTTAGAAGCAAATTTCATTCTAAGATTCATCAAGGAAATACATACACATATTTCTTCCTAATGGGAAAACAAAGAGGTGAACTCTGGAGCAGCAATGCCTGTGATCCCCACCAGTGCAACCACATGTTCCATTTCAGGCAACTTATTTGGGGTCAGATTCTTCTCTGGCACTGGTCATAATTTTAGAGC